TTGGACGAAAAAGAGGCAACTCCATACAACGCCCACCTTGAAATCCTGTGGACATCACTTACTACTAAAGATGAACATTATGATTTACGTTTTGTATAGATTTATCTCAAATCTCGATTTTCAAGCGAACCGATTCAACAGGAAGGCGAAATATGTGAGCAAGCAAAAACTTTGTATTAATATCATTACATGTGAAAAAAACTCGATTTACAAATATTTAGTTGTGAAAGTTTTTGCCCTCGATTTCGGGCGATAATGGGTTTTAACACGATGAAAATCTTGGCGTTAACTAAGCACCGGGGTAAAATCCGGGCGGTTGCACATCTCTGCCTACGCTCGATTCACTGGGACTTCTTATTTTACACACAACAACAAACTAATAGAGAGTTAAAAAAAAATGAGCGTGAAAAAAAATCAATAAAAAATAAAAAAATAAAAATATGGAAGTAAAAACATCACGATACTCAATAAAATAAACAATATAAATTGAAATTTTAAAATAATCGTAGGGAAACATAACGGGGAAAATATTATAACAATTGTATATATGTTTACGGATGTTTATTGATTGTAGATTCGCCACGTGAAAACATTTTTTTCGCAAGTAATTATCCGGGTTCTGACAAACGTGTTGAATCAGGAGCACAAACAAATAACACTGTAAATAAAGATGGAGAAAATCCCAATGTATTTTGTTTGTCAACAAACATTGATATAGGTTTTGACGTTTTCGTGGTTATTCACTAAATGATCGCACTTATTACAGGTTTCTCAACATAGTATGGGTTCTTTTTGTATTCCCGATATTTTGGAACGGTTACACGCTTCATAATAATAATAACGCACACACTCAACATAACCCCGCAATAGGGAAACCCTGTGTCGCGGGTGCCATGGACACATACATACATAGACAACCACAAGTTACACCCAAACTCACGAGATAATGTAAGCCATACAAATATTTCTCCCGGCCCGGGAATCGAACCTGGGACCTCTGTGTGGCAGTCCGGCATGGTAACCGGTCGGCCACGGAGGCAGTTTTCATGGTTACGGGTTGACTAAAACAGGTACAGGTTTCTTACCACGGTATGAGTTCTTTTTGTTCCATTTTATATAATAATAATAATAATTACCACTCTAATTACCTGGTCTAAATCTAGAAAATTCATTGTACTGAGTATAGAGCAATGGAATTCACTCCGGGGAAATATCCAGAACACTCAGATCAAACCCAATTTAGTAGTTCTACCGGGAATGGTACCCCTCATGCAGTGTCCACAGTGCAAATCATCGAGGTTGTCGAGGTTTTTGATTATCCAATATTTTATTCGAAAATGTGTATAAGAACATATTATAATACAATATACATGTCGGTATCAGAATGTCCTAACTGTTATAACCAAACAATCTAAAGTGTACCTTAAGAAATTAGATGTAATGTTAATATTTGAAGTGACGTAATTATATTAGGTTGTTTCCGCAATACTGTACAAAATAGTATTGTGCTACGTCTATTTTACCACACAGGAAATAATATTGACAACGTTCTACAATATAACATATAAACCATTTATATATATATCGTCGCCTTACTTTCTTAAACTCGTACCTTACAGCACAAAGTTACTGAAACGGAAAAAAAGTGGATTGTATATAGAAATTTTGGAGGCCGATTACCTCGATGACGATTACCTATTCTTAAAGTACACCCTTATAAGAAATTTAAAATAAATAGAAAGTTTCGCCATCCGAATAATCACACTTTTTAAGGTACGAGTTAGTAAGGCATCGATATAATAGATATGTAAAGTCTCAATACACACCAAGCTTACACTTTGAGCTGTTCTTACTTTGCACACTACGTCCGTTTCGTATCTGGAGGTCTACTCTCGACCTCCGTCTTACATCCGTCCGAAACAATTACTGCCAAAAAAGCAATACTTGACCAAATGAAAAGACGCGTGATGCGAATGAAGCTTCATTCTTGATACTTGTCTTTTAATTTTGTCGAATATTACTTATTTGACAGTAATTGTTTCGGACAGATGTCGGACGAATATCGAGAGTAGTATGACTTCAAAAGTCATATTATAAAAACTGTAGACTACGTGTTAGATAAACATGTATGGAAAGACAACGTGAGTCTAGAATCCACACAAATATGTTTCAAAACGTATACTATAGCCATTGTAGGTCAAAGACTACAAGCATTTAAGTTTATTTGAAAAGAGCAATCCCTAGAGTTTCTTGCTCGTTCTTTTCAGGGAGGTCAGGGTAGTCAACGAGTAGTAGTAGCTTAAAAAATGACGATTTCAAGTGTATGGAATAACAACAATAGCAACACAACGTAGAAAACAGACGGGAACAAGTTTAGAAAACTATTTTGTTATTTGGTAAATTAAAAATCACAAATTGTTAACAATACAGTAAATATGTGTGCACGTTCGCTGCGCTCCATGTACGGACGCACAAATTCGCGATATCTCGCGATGCATTCGAATTGCACAGAGCGGGACACACGCACCTTCGCTCCGTGTTAAAAATATCACTTATATACTATGGCATAGGTCATTAACTCCACACATTTTTTAAAAATTATGAACATTTTTCAACGTGCAAGTTTCATCATTTCATCACTATGATTCCTTCGCCGTTAGAGAGAAATATTTTGGGGGTTAGCCTATGTAACCACAAGAATTTAACATTACGGGAATTCCAGTCAAAGTCAAAACTTCGTTATAATTTAGTTGTCACACTTTTATTGTTCTCAGTCGAATAATATAAGTTACAAAAGAATTACGCTATTTACACAGGATTTCTCGGAACTAGTTATGGCGAAGAATATTGCTGAAATCGTTCGGACCGGGCGCGCGACTGACGATGACTGCGCACACGCGGAGGGCTGAAACGTTACGTCAGTACATGTCCCTATAATTAAAAAAAAAACTAACCTCAAAAGTTTGTGGAATTACGTCTATTTGCCAAGTTTTATTGAAATCGGTTAACGGAAAGTGGGTGAAAATCAATAAACCGGATTCATCCCCGAATTTGCCAGCCTTGGAGGTGGAATATTCTCTTCAAATTTGAATGGGACTACTGACTTTTTTCCAATAAAAAACAATCATCGAAATCGCTTCACAAATCTCGGAGTAATTTTTTATTAATTTTAACTGCCTCTGTGGCCGAACGGTTACAATGCCTGCCACGCAGAGGTCCCAGGTTCGATTCCTGGGCCGGGAGAAATGTTTGTATGGCCTACATTTATTTCTCTCGTGAGTTTGGGTGTAATTTGTGGTTGTCTATGTGTGTGTCCATGGCACCCGCGACACAGGGTTTCCCTAGTGCGGGGCTATGTTGAGCGTGTGCGTTATTTATTTATTTATTATTTAAAAAAGTAATCGTGTAACGTAAAAACATAACTTTGTTTGTGAGCAGGAACTTTTCAATTTAGTTCCACCCTCACCGTTCCTCCTTCGGTTGACTAGACTCGATACTGATGTCGTTGATAGCTTAGGCGCTTTGCTTCCTCCTTTCAGATGCGTACTGTCAAGAGCAAATCAAGCTTGACACCTTGTACCTTGTTGACCGTTCTTATTGTAAGCGGCATACAGCTGGATTTAAATTTTAAATGTCAAGCTTGACGTGCTCTTGACCCTGTACTCCTTTCTGATCTGTGTTTCCTTACTAAGTACACTTTGGGGCTATTCAAGGCTAGAGTGAATAGGTATTTTTTAGGCAAACGCGTCCCCATCGTTGGTCACATCGTCGCTTAATATCAGGTGAGATTGTGGCCAAGCATGTGTTTATTACACAATCGATTTGGGAAGTTGCTTCTTTATTCAAGTCGGTTAAAAATATAACCATTCTGTTTTGATCCTTTTTGCCTTGCATTTGTAATCACTTCAGGTTTCAACCCAGAGATAACAACATATCCTGCCTATTCCGATGTCTAGTGACAGTTTAAAAATAAACCCACCTAAAATTATTGGCTGAAATGGAACCCAAGATTAGTGTAAACAAATCAACAACCGTTGCGTACGGCCTTGAGACGAGACAGTGTGCGTGTGCGCATGGCGCCATAGTTTTGCTACTCACAGATTTTTTGGTTGCTACGCATTTAATACTATCACGAGTGACTTTTTATTATCCAAAACATGTTGATGTTATTTGAGTGGTATATATTTCAATACATTATAGTTCAAAATAGAGATTTCGTTATACTTCTTTATGTTAGGACTGCTTTTCTCGAAACTATTTAATATTTCGAGTTTTAAAGTTTTCGTGATTACTACATATCGGACATGAAACTATTTTTTCGAATCCACATCGCGTATATGTATTTTAAACAAAACAACTTTTCGTGTTCTTTACAGGTCCCATGGCAGCTCGATCCTCTTGAACTGCCAAAAGGGCGCATTTGGTGTAACTCAAGGGTCATCGTCCAGTGGTCCATCCGAGATATCGCTGGACGGATAAAGTTATAGCGCTCAAGGAGTTGAATGTGCCCGAAAGATCGTAATTGGTGCAAAATTGAAAGATGGTGTATATCGGTGTCGGGCCAAAATCCACTTCGCTAAACCAGCGAAGAAAGTAAGTACAGATACTATGGTCACGGCTGACTCAAACATCACGATTCTTATATTTAATACCTTTTTAGAAGGTTTTGTTTATATTCCACGAAACAAATACATTTTTTAAATTGAACTGATAAGGTCTCGTAAAGAGCCCGAAGTGGGTGCCCTCGACTCGCACTTGGTAGGTTTGTTTTGAATATAACATCAAAACATTGTTCTCGGTCACGAATGACGTTGTAGCAACCAAGGTTATATACAGTCACATCGGCTTGAATACAGTTCACAGTTGCATGAATGAGGAGGTTCCGGGTTCGATTCCCGGTAGAAACAATTTGGAAATGAACTTTTAAAAATTGGTTCTAGTCTGGGTATTGGAGTATTCTCTGAGTGAATTCTGTTGTTCTAGTACAGGAAATTCCTTACCTTGAGGCAAGGTATTTTGAGTGGTTCTCTGGGACATATAACTCGAATTTCTCCGGATTACCAATAAGCACGGGCCAAAACAAAGTGCATATGACGTGGGGCTGTGAGAACAAGGCGACGTGAGAATGGCTGCTTTCTGTAAGAGATGATTATATGTTTGGTGGTAGGTTCAGGTAATGCAATGACTGATGTAGCTGTTTGGGAATAACGCCTGTTGTCAAAATTACTATTGGCACTGTCATTACGTCGGGGCTATACCCGCGGTCACGCGTAATTACAATATTGCAACTAGCATTTGATTATGAGTCTCCATTTCGGTAATTTAACCTAGTCAAATCCGCGTAAATGTCAACCAAATTAGCATGATTTACGGGAATCTGTTGTTATCAGTCCGTAGACCACATAAATTAATGCTTTCTGTGCAAAAATAGAAGTCGTAGCCATTGAAATGACAAAGTAATAATGTTAAATCCATCTCCTGTGAAATTTGATTTGGTGCAGCTATCTCCGACGATTACGTACTTCAGATGCTAAATTCGGGTTATTTCCTCTTTTAGTTCTGTATACTGTGTATTAGGGATTTTTATATTATTATAAATAAACCGTCAACAGTCAACCGTGACCATGGGACCTGTAAAGGGCCCGAAACGTCGGTTTGTTTGAAAAAACAAATATACGCGATTTAAATCCGGAAAAATAGTTTCATTTCCTATATTATAAATAAAATTCAAGGATTGCTCATACCGTATTTAAAGGCGTAGTAGAAAACATGTGCAAAAAATTGCATGACAAGTCTGCAACACACCTACCGCCTTAGGGAATCGTCACACTTATCCACACGAACCGCTTTGAGCCGAGTATGTTTTACAACACCTGTCGCATTAAAGGTGCCTACTGATTTGCTCGACTTTTTGGCAATCGACACTTGTGATCGAGTAAATTTGTAAGCAACAGACGATTGACAATGTATTTATTGACGATCGACACTGTAGAATTTAAGTTAGGCGTACAAGTAAAAACAAATTTGTTTGATTTTAACCACGATATTCAACGCCTACAAATGATAGTAACTATCGTCAAAACAATATAGATAATTGAGGATATACACTGATTACTATACTGTGTGAAAACACGATTCCTAAAAATAATCACGATTGATAAAATAACACAAACTTACCTCGAAATTTTACAAGAAAACCACTGTATTACATACACCAATATTTTTTATATATATATCAAGTGAACTAAATAGAATAGATATCCTATACGGTATACATTACTCAAATTTTTTTTTTATTTTTTTTATTGTGACTCGGCAAAATGACTGCACCGCGCCTGATGGAAAGTGCGAATACAGTCCAGAGATGAGAGTAACGGATGGAAAACACAAATATCTTCACTCCGTCACTATCATTTTGCCGGTCTGGCCAAATGCTTCTTCACATCAAATCAAATGGCTTTATATTCGTTTTAAAAAAATATATCCTGAGATAAAGCCAGTGTCCCTGATGCTTGAGCAAAGCAAATTGAACCGTATGAGAAAAACATGAATTTGAGCTGAGGTAGTATAGGCTCGTAAGCCGATTGACCGTCGACTCAACCGCTCGGCCGAAATCTTCTCAGCAAAACAGACTCGTTACCAGTCTGTTTCGAGTTGCGCCGCCGTCGGCCGAACCTAAGCGAAACGCATATCTTTTTCAGTCTTATTGCATGGTAATCTCAGTACACAGTACTAAAAAAACCGACCTGGAATTACATATACTTACCAAGTTTTATTGAAATTTGTTAACGGAAAGTGCGCAAACCCGGAGTCATCCCCTAGTTCGCCACTATACGGGACTTGACACAGGAGATAACAAAAGTCGGTTTTCACTTCTCAAAGTATATTGAGAGAGAAAAACGCCTTGAATTGGAGAATAGCAAAATCAACCATTATAATAATTGCTCCTTATAATAAAATTTTGGCGCTGTTTATAAAAATTGAATCTTCATGCGTGAACAGCCACCCTTAGAAGTGAATGATTTTCTTCAAAATTAAATGGGACCACTATGGAGGCACCCTCTTTTCAACAAAAAAGGAATTATGAAAATCGGTTCACAAATACCGGAGTTATAGCGTAACATACAAACAAAAAAGAATATATATATATATCGTCGTCGAATATACAGTCTAATTGAGAACCTCCCCTCCTTTTTTTGAAGTCTGTTAAAAATAATACTTATCTTGACCGGCTCAATGCGACTCCGTGTCGATAAGAGTGGTGACTGCCTTAAGTGGCGCTAATTGACTGCCCACGCGCATTACGTCAGACTTACGCGGATCGTATGATGGTGGTGTTTGCTAATATCAATTTCATACTGAGAAAGGGTTTTAACATTTTGCTTTAATTGACACAATTTAGAGTGTTAAGTAGGTTCAATCTAGGAATGAGTGTTATCTAGGTGCAAATTAGACGTAAACTGGTCTTGAAGGATTTTAATATTAGCTATTTAAGTAGGTGAACATTTTGTTGATAAATTAACCGGCAAATAAGTGCCGGAATAACGAAATTACATACAAACAGGTGGGAACAGAATTTAGACCAATACAAAATTTGATTCCTTACACACGGGAATAGATTTTTTTTTATAGTATCAAGTGACGGGACGAACGAGTCGTGCGCCTAATAGTAAGCTACACGCCTGTCCATAACAGTTGAAGTGCCACTCGAGCTTTAAATCTCAAAGATCTTATGGGCGCTGCCACTGCGCCTGTCACCCTGAGACATAAGTTGCCAAGTCCCATGTACCTCTAATTTCACCCCACAGCACCCATACCCTTCTAAACCGGAAGGCAGTAATGCCCACATTACTCAACTACTCGGTTCTATTGCTACTATAAGGGCGCGTTCCCACTATGTCGTGACGACAGACTGTCATGTTGTTTACAGTGTCCTGACTTGTATATTTAAATGAAGTTGTTCACATATAGCACGACACGATTAACTGTAGTTCACGATTTTTTATCGTTACAACGACAAACTGTCGTCACAGTGGGAACAGCTAGAACGTCAGACGATAAAAAAGTCACGATAAAAACGTGACGACAGATTGTCGCAGCTCCTATGGTCGTCACGTTTTATTTATCGCTGTCCGCACGTATTTCGCTCCGTGCCCTCCCCTCTCGAATCCCACGCCCTCTGCTCGCTTTGCAGTAGCGTCGGGTCGCAGCCAGAGACGACGATGTGTGTGTGCGTCTGTGCGTCAGTGCGTCAGTGCGTCAGTGCGTCTGTGCGTCTGTGCGTCTATGCGTCTGTGCGTCTGTGCGTCTGTGCGTCTGTGCGTCTGTGCGTCTGTGCGTCTGTGCGTCTGTGCGTCTGTGCGTCTGTGCGTCTGTGCGTGTGTGTGTGTGTGTGTGTGTGTGTGTGTGTGAGTGTGTGTGTGTGTGTGTGTGTGTGTGTGTGTATGTGTGTGTGTGTGTTGTGTGTGTATACTTTTAAACATACGGCTTTTGCATCGGGGTAATGTCGTCGGTATTAAAAGAATCTTTGTTCTGCGTGCGGTTAGGGCGATTTACAATTTGGGCCTTGAGTGTCTTTGGGAAAGAAGTCTAAAGAAATTAGTAGTCTTACATTACCGTCACAGTACAATTATGAAAACTTAATTTATTATTTAATACAAAGAAAAAATCTTTCGGGCCGACTGAACTCGAAACTGCGACCCGTAGGGCACTAAGTGATCTTTTAATATAATTGAACCACAGGCTGCTCGTATAAAACGATTGCCAGTAGGCTTTGAAGAGTTAAAATAAGTCCATTAGTTATTAGTAACGAAGCCACCTTTACGCGTGTTAACTCTATAAATACCTATAATAATAAATAAACATCACAACATAGTCATCGAGAGAACGATTTCCACGTGTTAAAAGCGTAAACAACTAATTATAAAGTCATTGAGTACGTCATAAAACCGTACAAGACAGTTTAATGCTTCTAGCGTTGTTTACAGTGCAATTGAGTCCTGAATAACCATTTGTAACCACGTGTAGCTTTGTGTGCAGTGCAATGTGCATTCCACACTTGTTATTATCATTGGACTTGTTTTAGGCTTGTTGAGATCACTATCAGTAGGCCTTATGTAGGTAATAAACACACAAACACAAATTGGAATAGATTGAGTATAACTACCTAAATTTTAAGGAAGTAATACGCATAATTTGGGTTTTAATAATAATATAAAATATTTATTAAGACAGTCAAGATCCATTGGTTAACATTGTAAACACTTTAAGACTAATTTTCCACAAACAGCAATTCGTCACACTGCAAAAAACACGCGATTGGAGTAGACCAGAGTACGAAGGGCGTTCGAGCCGAGCCCTCCAGTGATACGCCTTCATGGGCGTCTCTGGTCGACTCGGACTTTGGGTATGGACTCGCTACTTGTGGTAGCTCCAAAGACGGACATGTTCGTCTGCTGCGGTATTGTGTGGCCGGGGCGTCAGTCTCGCACGAGGGCTAACGCGAGGAGACGCGCGGGACACGCCCTTTAACTTTGTAGCTATGTCCTGACATTGTCACATGACACTGCGACCACGACATATCCGGCACTAGCCTCTTGAGAACGGGATGAAGTCCGTGACAACGGTCTGTGACAACTCTGTCCATGGGCTGATCTGGGGTCAAGCTAGGAGGTGAATTGAATGCCCTTCCCGCATAACCAAGAGGTTGAAAGGGAAGGTCACTATAATCAAAACTTAATTAGAAAGATATGGGACTGACGTGTTGTAGTGAACTGACATTCGTGTGTAAAATGAGCTGTTAATTATTTTTTTTTAGAATCCATAAACACTGTATGCGTGTTTACCTTTTACAACATTTTAGTTCGGGTTATATTATATAAGTAATAACAAAACCCGCTATTTGCCAAGTCCATAATTGTTGTGTTGTGCACCATATTAATTTATATTGTATTCGCAAATATGTTTTTCACATTGTACGTATCACTGACGGTAAAAAATACAAAACTAGAGTTATCAAAGCCTTCAGTCTTTGGTTTCGGGCTTCTAAAAAACCCTCGTTAGTAATTTCTTATTTCCGTCCTTATTGCACAATGTAGGTAC